CCTGTAGTCCCAGCTTCTCGGTAGGCTGAGGCAGGAGAATGGCGTGAACCCAGGAGGTGGAGTTTGCAGTGAGCTGAGATAGCTCCACTGCACTCCAGCCTGGGCAACAGAGCGAGACTCCATTTTTTTTTTTTTTTTAAAGAAAAGGTTTAAGAGGGAAAAAAGGAATTTATTGACCGCGTAACTAAAAGCTCTGAGTTAGAGGTGGCTTCAGGTACGGCTGGCTCCAGGTGCTCACGAGCTGCTCTTGGGAATGTGGCTCTGACCTTCTCAGGCCCTGCTTTCCTCTGTGCTGTTGTCATTCTCAGCCAGGCTCTTTGCCTTACAGTCGCCACTAGTATTTGACCAGCATAGCAACCCCAGTCAAAAGAAATGGCCTCTTTACCTGGAGTCCCAGCAAAAGCCTCAGGGAATCCTCATTGGCCCATCACTGAAGCAACTGTTGTGGCCAGAGACCTAGAATATGCATGTTTATTCCTGAGTCACATGGCTGCGGCCCAAGCCACATGGACTAAATGTGGGAGGGAAGTCTTTCTCCAGAAGAAAACGGCGGTGACTTAGCGCAAAGACCTGAGGGAAGGATAAAGGCCAGGCAGAGACAACAGCTGTAGTCTGCAGTGCTGGGGAGTCGGCACCCAGGGACCACACAGAGCTCTGAGCAGCGGGGGTGCGGGTCCTTCGCAGGGGTTCAGCAGGCTGGCGACACACTCAGCTGTTACACTGGAGGACAGGGAAGGAGCTTGTGGATGGTTGTCAGGAGCCCTTTGCAGTAACCCAGGTGAGAAGGTGAGGGCTGAACTCAATCTGTGGCAGTGGGAAGGAGGCCGGTGCCAAAGACATAACCTCCAGGCCCAGCGTGGGGCGGTCCCCACCTCTGCCCTGCCCCCTGCTCCTAGTGTGCCCCTTCCAACCTTCAGGCCCCACAAGAGCTCAGGCCAGTCTCCTGGCCAGGCAGGCCCCGGGCCAAACCCAGGTCTCAAGAACATCAGGACTCCCAGCCCTGTTCCAGGACTCTTTAGCAACAAGGGACGTTTCACACCTTGGCCTGACTGCCTGTCAGTTTCAGCTTCCCTGTCTGGCAGC